CTCTCTCTATGCATTCATCTTGCACACAAACTTCATATGAACATAAACATTGTTTTCTTGGTTTAGGCACCAAGCAGTCTTCCTTACAAGCCTCAAAAGAACTTAACAGGATGCCGAGCCAGAGAGGACCACCCAGATTAGCAGCGCCTGCAAACAGATTCCACTCAGGGAAGATGCAAGACAATTGGAAAGGAGATGGTTCCCTGGGAACATCCAGCAAAGTGTAAATCCCGTGTTTACGTTTTAACCACACTTTAACAATAAAAATGCAGTACATTAGGAAACCTGCAGACAAGGGACACAGAGACTTCCTGTTCTCTCTTGAATGACAGCTTGATACACAGATATCGGCAGGTGGAGTGCCGTTCATGGCACATGTTGAGATTTTCAGACCTGCAATCCTCCAATCCTTCTCTCTCTCCTCCCAACACACACTCCTTCCTTCATCTTTTTCTTGCCCAAGCCCCCCTGTGCTAAAGGAGGAAAAATTATGGAGGGAAATTTAAAGAAAAACTGTGCCGGACTCAATTTTACAACTGCTAATGCAGGGAATGACTCGCTAGACAGTTCATCACGAACAGGAGTCAGTATAATGCAGCCCCGTCCATCCTCAGCTGGTCTAATGTGTCTTCCCCCGTTCACTGATAAATAAAATGCTCCTCTCTGTCACAGGTCAATGAATTCAGTGAGTATCTCTGGTGAGGAAATGATACGCAAGGCGAGAAAGCAAATAACCGAAGTCATTCAGAAGGATCTAGAATTCTTTCTGGACGAGTTTGTCTCCAAGTCGGTCATCACGGAGGAAGAATATGCAGCCTTAGATAAAAGCGAAGAGAATGTCAAGAAGAAAACTCGAACGCTGCTGCTTCTGCTACAGCAAAGAGAGGGAGCAGCCTGCACCCAGTTCCTGGAATGCTTGGAAGTGGTATGTCCAGGTACATACGGGGCACTGCAACGTTCAATACGAGGTGAGTCTTTCGAGCATTTTTCTTAAACTTCAAGGACCTTTAATGC